ATGCACGATACAAAGAAACTCATTCACTAATAATATCAAAAACTCGAACTACAGCGACAAAATATATGCCATAAACGAACATGAGCTTTAATACCGTTTGATAGGAATCATTTTGATCCACTCTACCAGCTGTTTTTTCCCTGGCCATCCCATGCAAGTGGAGAGAAAAAGAACATTTTTAATCCCATAAATCCTTTCATTTTTTTCATCTCAACATTTTATTGACATTTTTAAAAATTATTCCCATTATATCTAAAAATCGATAGAATATAACAAAAATAACAATAAATGTCATTGACGTCGATGTTGGTTTTGATCCTCGATCCGAGTACATCGAAACGAAACCAAGATAGAAAAAAAATATATAAATAACGGGATCATAACTTGAGGGGAGAGTATCTTTATACCGAAGTACTTCAAGTGCAATGTTGACCACTAATAACTTCGTAAGAAATACTTCACAATTAATAACTTCTCTGGTAGATATTCACTTGTTGATAAATCTTGCAAAAATTAAATCAGGTTCAAGTCGAGTTAATAGTCCAAACAAGGAATACTCTTTTTTTTTTTTTAGGTAAAAAAAAGTCAAATATTTATTTTAAATTAATTTTTTTTCTAATTTCTTTTTATATTAAATATTGAACTCAAAAGTTTATTCTCAATATTTTAATCTATATTTCAACGAAATTGAGATATCTTTGACAGTTTCGTCGACATCAACATCTACATACGAAACCTTGATTAAAACATCGATCTTTAAAAAGAAAGAAAGTACTCAACTAAAAATCACAATTGGTATTATATAATTAAGTCGATCAAAACATGTGTTACCTAAAATATGCCACTAACCCTTAATTTATTCCTTCAAAGAACACTAAAGAGTATAATATGTAATGAAATCAAAGAAATTGTACGCAAATTAATTATTCAAGGAAAAACATTTATCCAACTAACACGAAAATCTCTCCTGACAGACACATTTTAAAAAATTTTAGGGAAAATTCGAGAGGAAAACATAATTGGGATGAAAATATAAATAGTTGTTACTAATGGTTAATATAAAATAGATTTTCTGGTTTTCAGTTAGAGTCACCTTTTGGAAAGCATAAACTTTGAATATAGGGAGAATTCCAAGGACTTTCAATAGTTTGGAGAAATTGTTGGGTGGGCTCCCGGGGAAAAATAGCAATAACAACATTCAGAAATTTCAAAAGTTTAGCGAAGAGTCATGAAATGGAGACAAGAAATTTGCAGCTTTACATGTTATCGATCTGTTCTTCTGCTGCTGCTGCTGCTGCTGCTTTCATTCACATCCTTCTGTTCAAGATTTTGCTTTGCCGGCGATACCATCACATCAGCAAATTTCATCAAAGACCCAGCAACCATTATATCTAATGGTGGTGTCTTCTCGTTGGGGTTCTTCTCGCCTCTTAATTCTACCCGCCGATATGTCGGAATTTGGTTCCAGAAAATTTCTTCACAAGCTGTAGTATGGGTGGCCAACAGAGACAACCCTGTCAAAGATACTGCTGGGATTTTCACTATTTCCAATGATGGGAATCTTGTCGTCATGGATTCAAACAACAACATTCTTTGGTCTTCGAATGTTTCTTCCTCTGTAATTGGAACGGACAACACAAGTGCTCAAATTTTAGACTCCGGAAACCTGGTTCTGAAAGATTCTACGTCTGGGGTCATTATATGGGAGAGTTTCAAACACCCTTGTGATAAATTCTTGACTTCCATGAAGATTAAGACGAACACAAGAACTAAAGAGGTGATCGGCTATACCTCATGGAACACCCCTTCCGATCCATCTACTGGAAAGTTTTTATTTCAGCTGGATGTTCATAATATCCCTGAAGCTGTCATTTTGAATGGTCGGGACACATTTTGGCGCTCCGGTCCATGGAGCGGTCAGTCCTTTATTGGAATACCTGAAATGAACTCTGTTTACCTCTCTGGATATAACCTCGCAATTGAAGACCAAACTTACACTCTCTCTCTTGCTTCCAAATATGTCGCTCGAGAATTTTCTTATTTGTTCTTGAACTCACAAGGGAATGTTCAGCAAATGGATTGGGATGCTGAGAAGCAGCACTGGAGTGCTAGTTGGTCAGCTCAGAAAACAGAGTGCGATTTGTATGGCGCTTGTGGGGCGTTTGGGATCTGCAATGCAAAAACATCCCCTGTTTGCAGCTGCTTAAGAGGGTTTGAGCCAAAGCACGAAGAGGAATGGAATCAAGGAAATTGGAGTAATGGGTGTGTGAGAAAAACACCATTAAAATGCGAGAACAGGTCTAGTACAGAGGAAGATGGGTTTTCTAAACTGGAAATGGTTAAAGTTCCATTTTTGGCAGAGTGGTCTAATTCCTCTGCTTCCGTAGACGATTGCAGGCGCGACTGCTTGGAAAATTGTCGGTGTTCTTCTTATGCATTCGAGAATGAAATATGCATGCACTGGAGGAATGCCTTAATTGATATACAAAAGTTCGAGAGAGGTGGAGCAGATCTTTACCTTCGAATGGCATTCGCAGATTTAGATTCAAGTACAATCATCCCAAACTTCCTACAATTTCCATTATTGTTAAGCTTACGTCCTTTTTCCATCTAAATCTCTCTAACATTTCTGTCATTTGCGGCGCAGATAATGTAAGAGACAAGAAACGAATTACTATAGCCGTAGTTGTACCAGCAACGCTTGTCACCTTCATCTTTGCCATAGCCTTTTGCTGGAAATGGAAGACTAAAAAACAGAGTAACAAAATATTTAAATTTATAGCCAAGCCCAAATACTGACATACTTACTAACATTTGAGTTGTTAACAGAGAAGAAGATAATGATGACGTCTGGTGAAAGAGAAAAGAATTTGAAGCAAACACGGGAGAGTGATAATATGATTGAGGATGATATCAAACTTGAGGAGCTACCACTTTATGACTTTGAGAAGCTAGCAATTGCAACCAATGAGTTTGATATGAGCAACAAGCTTGGGCAGGGTGGGTTTGGGCCCGTATATAAGGTAGGTAGCTACATTTATGGCTTGCCTTTGGTAGTTTGATTAGTTGGAAGATAATGTTTTTGTTTTCAGGGGAGATTATTGAATGGACAGGAAATAGCAGTAAAGAGGCTTTCAAGAGCCTCTAAACAAGGGTATGAAGAGTTTATAAATGAAGTGAGAGTGATTTCAAAGCTGCAACACAGGAATCTTGTACGCCTTTTGGGATGTTGCATTGAAGGAGAAGAGAAGATGTTAATATATGAGTATATGCCCAACCTAAGTTTGGATGCCTTCATCTTTGGTTAGATACTCTCCCGCTCACTTTTAAGAATTACGAGTACACGATTTGGTTTAGAATGACGTTTTAAGTAGCTTAATTTGGTTTAGAGTTTTGATGAACTAACCAAAATTAAAATTTATGTTTAGGCTCCCGTGTAAAAAAATTTCTCGATTGGAGTAAAAGATTTAATATTATCGATGGAATTGCTCGAGGTCTTCTTTACCTTCACAGGGATTCGAGATTGAAAATCATTCATAGAGATCTCAAGGTAAGTAACATTTTGTTAGACAAAGATTTGAACCCTAAAATTTCAGATTTTGGCATGGCAAGAATTTTTTACAGCAATGAAGTTCAAGCAAACACTTTAAGAGTTGTCGGAACTTAGTAAGTTTCTCCGAACCATTTTAGATTACTTCAAATCTTAATTCTGCATAGCTAACAAAAACTAACCTGGCATGGCACGTTTGTTTCTATGAATAATAGTGGATATATGTCTCCTGAGTATGCCATGCAAGGTCAATTTTCAGAAAAATCAGATGTATTTAGTTTTGGAGTTTTATTGCTCGAAATTATTAGTGGGAAGAGAAATACAGAGTTCTATGGCCATCAACATGCCATAAGCTTACTCGGATTTGTATGTCAACTGAAAACTCCGAATTCTCAAAGTTGAATGATAACATTCAAATCTCAAGCATTTATAATAATACATTTTACACTTGGTTTCAGGTATGGAAGCTTTGGATGGAAGACAATCTTATTCCTTTGATTGAACCAACAATATATGAGCCACGTTACCAATTAGAGATTTTGAGATGCATTCAAGTGGGGCTCTTATGCGTTCAAGAATTTGTGAATGATCGGCCAAATGTTTCCACTATCATTTCAATGATTAACAGTGAAATCGTTGATCTTCCTTCTCCAAATCAGCCTGGCTTTGTCGGCAGACCATATGAAAGTAGCACAGAATCTTCTCAACCAAACTTAGATAAATATTCAACAAATAATGTTACAGTTACTACAATTGCAGCTCGATAATGTGTTGCGTTAGAAAAACAAATTATTTTATATATTTTAAGTCAGATGTAATTTTGCCTTCTAGAAAAACTACCAATTTTTTAGACTATAAAAGTATCTCTTATAATTTTAAATTGATAAATATTAATGGTATGTGTGAAATACTTTCTATTAAAACATTTTTTTTTTTTTTTGTTATTTCCGACTATCAATTCAACTCAATATAATTAATTTTGGTAGAACATAATGAACTTGAATATAAATATAAAATTTTTAACACTCAAATAATTAATTTTTTTAATTGGACAAGAGAACAAAACATTTATTATAAGAGCCTGAAAATGTGTTTTAAAATTATGAAGGTAACGGTGATACATAATGGATCAAAACGGATAATATCAGTTAGTCAACGCATGCTAGTAAAAAAAAATTTTGAAAAGTTTTTCCAACAAGCTCGTAGTTTATATTAATATTTTTAATTCATAATTTGGAATGATGTAATTGAATAAGAAAAGTCAAGGTCACCTAGGAAAGAATACAAAGTCATACTTCTGATTTTTCAAAAGGCAGAAACTTCCAACAACTTCCATTGTCCAATTTGATTCAAATTCTTTAGAAATTATATTGTGTTGAGAAAGAATCAATTTGGGGAAGAAAAAAAAACTTCAAAGAGAGTGATATGACTGAATGGACGACCAGCTGAATCCACTCGAATTTGTTTGGTCTGAAGGCATATGATCAAGCAGTGTACAGTTCAACTGTTGATCTCAAACAAAGCCTCTGTTTTACGGACTATTTTCTCCATAGTTTAAACGAATTTGTAGCCAACAACAGCCATGAAACCCGAGAAGCTTTTGAGCTTTTCAACTCATCTTCTTCTTCTTTCATTTTCATATTTTTGTACAAGATTTTGCTCGGGGAGCAGAGATACGATCACATCAACAACCTCCATTAAAGACCCTGCAACCATAGTTTCAAATGCCAGTTCCTTCCAGCTGGGGTTCTTCTCACCGGCTAATTCCACGAACCGCCATGTCGGAATTTGGTTCAACAACCAAATTTCTCCACAAACTATAGTGTGGGTAGCCAACAGAGATAACCCTCTCAAAGATTCTTCCGGGATCTTCACAATTTCCGAGGATGGGAATCTTGTCGTGTTGGATGGAAACCACAACCTCCTCTGGTCTACCAATGTTTCTAACTCTGCAACCAACGTCAGCGCCCGAATTTTAGATTCCGGCAACCTTGTTTTGGAAGATTCCGTCTCCAAGATGGTTATCTGGCAGAGTTTCAAAAACCCATGTGATGTATTCTTAGCTTCCATGGAATTTATGACGAACACAAGAACTAACGAAAAAATACAACTTACCTCATGGAACAACCCTTCCGATCCATCCATGGGAAGCTTCTCCTTGGGGCTGCATGTTCTTCACAATATTCCTGAAGGTGTAGTTTGGAATGGGCAGAACACGTATTGGCGATCTGGTCCATGGAATGGTCAAATCTTCATTGGCATACCCAACATGGATTCAACTTATCTCTCTGGATATACCCTCGACATAGATGATCAAACTTACTATCTTTCCGCCACTTTTAATGAGGATAAAAATTTCGGTTACTTGTCTTTAAGCCCACAAGGGAATGTTCAAGAAACTTATATGAATTTTCAGGAGAAGCGCTGGAGGGCTGGTTGGTCCGCTCTACAAACGCCGTGTGATTTCTATGGCGCTTGTGGGGCGTTTGGGATCTGCAATCCAAGAGCTTCCCCTGTTTGCAGGTGTTTAAGAGGGTTTAACCCAAAGCATGAAGAGGAGTGGAATCGAGGAAATTGGAGTAATGGGTGTGTGAGAAACACGCCATTAAAATGCGACAAGTCCAACAAAACCAGTATTGAGGAAGATGGATTTCACGTGGAGAGATTGGTTAAAGTTCCATTTTTGGCAGAGTGGGTTGATTCCTTTTCTTCAATACAGGATTGCAGAGTCAAATGCTTGGGGAATTGTTCGTGTAGTGCTTATGCATATGTAAATGGTATTCGTTGTATGCTCTGGAAAGGGGATTTGATTGATATACAAAAGTTTGAGAGCGGTGGGACGGATCTGTACCTTCGACTGCCATATGGAGACTTGGATCATACAAGTATTGATATCATCTCCTTAAACTTCCATCATTCAGATTATTACATTCTGTTTCCAACTAAATTTTGTTTTTGATCCACAGAAGATGTCAAAGGCCAAAGAGGTATCATTATAGGCATAGTGATATCAGTAACGTTTATCATCTTCATCGTTGTGACATATATATGGTGCAGATGGAAGAGTCGCAAACAAGGTAACGCATAGCCTAATCTTCCTTACAGTTATGTAATCCTCGATAGCTTAATAAGATTTGAGGCATATAGCAGAGAAGAACAGATCAAGTATGGGTTCAAAGGCAAAGATTTGGAAGTTGAGAAGGGACGATACGATTGAGGAGGACGTTAAATTGGAGGAGCTGCCTGTTTATGACTTTGAGACGTTGGTATCTGCAACAAATAACTTCGCCCCAAGCAACAAGTTAGGACAGGGAGGCTTTGGTCCAGTGTATAAAGTATGTATTGATTGTACTGATTACCCCACTACTACGCCCATATTATTCTCGTTGGAATCTCACAATCCACCCTCTTGGATGTCCAACGTCTTTGCTAGCACATCGTCCCGTGTCTGGTTCTGATATCATTTATAACCACCCAATATGATCCAACATTCCTTATAAGAGTGTGGAAATGAAACATTTCTTATAAGAGTGTCGAATAAACACGTTTTAAAACTTTGAAAGAGAGCATAAAAAGACAATATCTACTAACGGTAGGCTTGAGCTATTACGTAACCGATTTGTTTTCAGGGAAAACTGCTAAATGGAGAGGAAATAGCAGTAAAGAGGCTTTCAAGAGTCTCTAATCAAGGGTATGAAGAGTTCTTAAATGAAGTGAGGGTCATCTCAAAGCTACAACATAGGAATCTTGTGCAGCTTCTTGGTTGTTGCATCGAAGGAGAAGAGAAGACATTAGTATATGAATATATGCCCAACCTAAGTTTGGATGCACTAATCTTTGGTTAGTGGGACTTTTGATTCTAAAGAATATTGACTTTTTATATATGAATATGCCCAAACTGTAACTATGTCTATGCACATGTAGGCTCCCCCAAGCAAAAACTAATATTGGATTGGCGGAAGAGATACAACATTATCGATGGAATTGCTCGAGGCCTCCTTTACCTTCATCGAGATTCAAGATTGAGAATCATTCATAGAGATTTAAAGGCAAGTAATATTCTATTAGATAAAGATTTGAATCCTAAAATATCTGATTTTGGCATGGCGAGGATTTTTGGTGGTAATGAAGTTCAAGCAAACACTTTAAGAATCGTTGGGACATAGTAAGATTTCTAACCGGTTTTTTTTATTACTATTATTTATTATAATTGATATATAGCTTCATAAAACTGGTTTAATGTGTTTTTTTTTATTAATTTAGCGGGTATATGTCTCCTGAATATGCTATGAGAGGTCAATTTTCGGAGAAATCAGATGTGTTCAGTTTTGGAGTTCTATTACTTGAAATCATAAGTGGGAGACGAAATACAGGATTCTACCTCGAAAACCATGCCTTAAATTTATTGGAATTTGTATGTTGACAAAAAGAAAAATATACTTTCGAAATTTAGGGTTGAAATTAAGATTTCAATTAAAAATTTTAATTTTGTTTTAGGTCTGGAAGCTACGGAAGGAAGACAATCTTATTCCTTTGATTGAGCCAACCATCTACAAAGTGTGCTGGCAATCAGAGATTTTGAGATGCATTCATGTAGGGTTGCTATGTGTTCAAGACTTTATAAACGATCGGCCAAATGTCTCTACCATTATCTCAATGATCAACAGTGACATTGTAGATCTTCCTTCTCCAAAGCAGCCTGGCTTTGTTAGTCGACCACAAGACAGTAACATGACATCTTCCTCTCAACAAAATTTAAACCATTTTTCTGTAAATAATCTTACTCAAACCACAATCATACCCCGATAATATGTTAGATAGGATAAGATAACAAATTTTGTAAATTTACTTTTGACTAAATTTGTTGAGAATTGTCATAAAGATTTGATTCTGAATATTTTTGGTACAGTCCTCACTTCGATTATGTGTTCGTTGGATTCATTTTGTTTATCTCTTGTATTAATACATGAATCAACTTGATTTATATATGAGAATTAAGGTTGTTATGCCAATATAAAGATATGTATTGTATTGTTATGAGACATGAAATGAGTGTCATTTCGTATTTGTCTATAAACAATTTGGAGAAACTTTGTAGTGTAAGAGTGTGAGGAGATACACTCGTACGACTACCACTTGCAAATGGAGCGGAATTTCTTCTCTCCAAACCACATAATTCTTTATGTTATTTTATTTATTTATGTTTCACGAGTAGTGTGAGTGAGATCGATCTTACTTGTTCCTAGCATTCCATTTGATGTCATATTGGGCCTACTGGGCTTGCAAGCTAAGTAGTTCGGTCCAATACCAATGTCCCCTTCAAAACGGTGTCGTCTTTGAGTTCCTTCTTTACGACTAAGCTACAAAACCCGATCCGATTCGGAAAAGGAATTTCGGTCCATTAATTTCTAGGGCTCGTCGTTGCCCCCAAATTCTCTGTTTTTTGTAGACTATCGTGTGCATTTTAGATCGACCGAGTTTGAGATTGACAGAAAAATATGCCTCAGAGACATTCGAAGAACAATAACGATCTAGCCTTCTTCACCTATGATGAGAAGCGGAAGCTCGGTTATGGAACCCAGAAAGAGAGACTTGGAAAGGACTCGATCAAGCCCTTCGATGTCTGCTGCCTGTGCTTGAAACCCTTCATTGACCCCATGTGCTGCCAGAAGGGCCACACGTTTTGTAAAGAATGCATTCTTGAGTGCCTTTTGGCTCAGAAGAAAGATAATAAGAGGTTTGTTACTTTTACAATACTTGTATGTTTACATTTGATTGCTACTTTTTTTTGTATCTTCCTCCCCAAGTTTGAAACAATTGTTTAAAAATGTACGAAGAAGTGGAGAGCGAGTGGTTCAGATTCTTGCAAACTCTTGGCGTTGGTGTGCTAGAGTGGTGCGAGCAATTCCAATTTCTTCATGTAGTTGGATAGTAATCGAGTTATAATCGTTTATTGCATTTTCTGAGTCCTTAAGTTGTCTGCTTCGGTTTTCTGTGTTGGTTCCTGCTTTTTGAAGAATTTGTTATTGGTTTGGTCTTTAAAAGGTGAAATTTTGATCTTAATTTGTGGTCAATTGTCTTGGATGAGATGTTACTAACCAACCTGGGCTGGCCCAGTGGACAATTAAGGTCAATGTAAATAAAATAAGGTTTAGAGATAACGGGTTCAAATCTAATGACCTATCAGATACCTTGGAACCAAATGTAGTAGTGTGGACATGCTTTTGACATTATGCCTTATAATGATGTGTAGGACATTGGCAGGCCTAATGTAAATTTCATTTTCCATAAACCACTTCATTTCTCTTATACTTCCTGCCTTTCTAGTTATAGGCTCAAAAGTATTTGATGCTATTGACTATAGAAGTCTTCGGTATAACGAAGATTAAAGAATGCTTTCTGGAATGTGCAGGTTGTATTTACCTTAATGACTTCTACTTTTCATGTGGTTTTAGGAAAAGCTAATGAACAAAGAAGCAACAATCTAGTATAAAATGTTATGGTATTGATTGACTAATATGGTGGGAATTTAGTTTAAAAGTTAGTTGAGGCTTGTAATTGGTGTAAATATTAGACTCGGTTATGTAATAGGGTGAGTAGAACATTGTAGGAGTGCATGTTTAAATGCGAGAGAATTTTGAAAACATAGTAGTAGAGTGTATATTTTCCCTTTTTGATGCTATGCAGTACGGTCCTTCTGTTAATGATGTTCGTCATCAATACCCTTCTCATGCCAAATGAGCATGTTTTGTTACCTTGCAGGAGGCTTGCTGCATTTACAACTCAGCAGAAGCAAGAGAAGGAAGAAGCAGAAGAGAAACTGATGCAGCAGAAAGCTAGAGAGCTTGATGCATTTGATCAGCAAAACCATGGTGCTGTACCACAATACAACGATAGAAACCACAGTCAGGATAAGAATGGTTTCCATGGTGCAAATAGTGTAAAGGTTACTTCTTACGAAGAAGAAGCACTTCGGAACATGAAGGCATTTTGGCTTCCTTCCGCTACACCAGAAGCTCCTGTTAAAGTAGGAGCCCCTTCATGCAGTACATTCTGTCCCGAAGGCAACGAGAAACTTAAGCTAAAGTCCCTTTTCCCAATACATTTCACAGAGGACAAAAGCGAGCAGAAGAAATCAAAATCTTATGATGTTACATACATATGCCCTAGTTGTAAGGTTACTCTAACCAACACTATGTCTCTCGTGGCCCTAAGCACATGTGGCCATGTCTTCTGTAAGAAATGTGCTGATAAGTTTATGGCTGTGGACAAAGTGTGTCTGGTCTGCAACAAAGGATGTAAAGTAAGGGATTTGGTGAATTTGGAGAAAGGAGGCACGGGGTTTGCTGGCCACGGGGATTCACTTGAAGCAAGAGACTTCAAGCATTTGGGAAGCGGCTCTGGTTTGGGGCTGGTGAGGCCTGCCATGAAGACTTGAGTCAGTCATCCTTGCTTACTTGATTGTGATTTTCTTCCATAATTCTGTTTCTTTTTCTCAACTAATTAGTATCTGGTCTTGTAAATGACAATATCAATCTTAAATCTTAGTATGTTAGCTTCTAAATTGTGTCTTTATCAACAAGAATCTTAAAAAAATGATAATATCCAAAGCTCGGAGGATGTTTCGTTATCAATGGACCGCAATTCCGTGGTTCATAATCTTTCTTCCCTGTAACTCTCTGGCATAAATAAATGCTCTGCAATGAACATCTCGTTCTTTTGGGGGATGGATATGGATATTCATTTAATGTATTGGATTTGAAATTTAGAATGGTATGTTCCAAGAGTTTTAACTAAACAAATGCTAAAACTTGATCATAAACTAAGGGTTTTTACTTTTTTAGAAAAAAAAAAATAATAATAACACCAGACTTCCTTACTTTTAAGGAGAGTTGAATTCAAGACCTCCCCGCTTATTAAAGCGTTGCTCTAACCAACTGAGCTATGAAAGTCCGTTGACACTGAACTATGAAAGCCTGTCGACGAAGTTGTTCCTCTAATTTAAAGAATTCAAGTAACCAAAAATGGGATTGAAGGAACAAAAGGGCATGCAATCGTGGAACATCCAATTCTAGAATATCTTAGTTGGGCACCATACTAAAATTTAGGTGTATCCCTTTTCCTCCTATAAATTAGAAGTCCTAGATTTGTGGCATTTTAGATTTTAAGTAAGGCACACAAATCAAATATAGTCACTCATAGCTTCCTCTCTAATTGGACAAAATCTGTTGTTCTTTCAAACATGCAACGAAAATTTAGGACAATTTCATGTACATTTATTGCAAAACTTGAGCACCTAATTCTTTCCTTCAAACCACTCCCCAACGCAGAATTTCTCTCTACAAAGCAAGAAAAATAAAATAAAAACTCTTCATTTTTCGTTGGAAACGTTTGAGGAACTATGGAATCATTCCTTGCTTTCTCTCTCACCAAACCAATTATCCATATAGCAACTTAATCACCTCAAGCAACCATCAAACTGTTCTGTTCCATTTTCCCCTGTCGTAAAATACCAAAATGTTTTCACTAAACACCATGCTCAAATTCCCCAATTACCAAATTAACCGAATCCGAGCATTATTATTAGCCCGGCAATGCCACAAACAACCCATTCCTGTCGCATGGAAAAGGCCCGACATTGGATGGACAAAGCTCAATTTCGATGGCTCCTCAAGAGGTAAGATGTCCCCCGGAAGGGCCAGCATTGGGGGCGTTCTAAGAGACCATGAGGCTCAGTTTTTGCTGGGATACGCCGAACCCATAGGCCAAGCCAATAGCACCATCGCCGAGCTCACTGCACTCAGCAAAGGGCTCGAATTGGTCCTTGAAAATGGGTGGAAAGACGTATGGCTGGAAGGAGACGCAAAGGGGTTGATAGAAATAGTAGTTGGAAAAAAGAAGGCTAAATGTGTGGAAGCTCGAAGTCAATTTCGGTACATAAATTCATTGATATTGGATTTGAATAATTGTAAGGTTAGTCATATTTATAGAGAAGGTAATAGAGTTGCCAATAGGTTTGCTTCCATTGGCCATCGCTATAAGAAGCTTGAAGTTTGGAGGGACATTCCTCCATTGGAGACATTGGACATGATGCGTGAAGATGCTGAGGGGAAGATTAGTTTTAGGAACATAAATACTAGGTAGGTAGTTTTGTTTATTATAAGCTCTTATTTCTGTAACCATTATTTTGAACTTGTAGTTACAAAGTGAAAATGATCCGTGATATATAATACATGTAATTCTTCAACAATGCATCGATACACGAACATTCGTCAAAATAAATCAACACCAAATATTAATACATGTGATTCTTCAACAAAACACACGTCCTTATTCATATATCCAACTATTTATGTTCCCAATATGAATCTAGATTAATGGGGAAGATTTTGAGACTAGAGTAGTCCGTAAACCCCAATAATCATCGAACGGACTTGCCCAACAATTAGCGACGCTCAAACCCATTTTATACTATTTCTTAAGTTTTCGACCTCCCATAGTCATTTTTGACCTATCGAGGACACCATTTGAAGTCAGTATAACTCCTTTATACTCAAAATGGATATTTTTTTTATAAAAAATTAGGAGTACTTATCTATATTATATGTTATCGTATCTCCTAAAGAATGTAATATGGATTGACATATGTGAAATTAAACATTGTAGCATAGTAGTTTCGAAGGCGGTACAAAATAATCAGGAACTTCAGCCAAGACCAACAAAGTGAGTGACTTTATTATTGGAGTTAGATAATTGAATGATGTATAATGGTGCACGATTGGTGACCCCAGCATGCACCATATCATTTCTATCATGTGTGT